GAGAGGCACAGACCCTTCCTGCCAGTCAGGCAGACCAAACAGCAGGGGGGCCGAGCTCACTCAGCTACCTGTTTCCACCCTGCTCCCTTCCTTGTGCTCTACTTCCGGCTCCATTCTCTCACGCACTGCTGCCAGTGCCCTTTTCTAGTTTCTGCTACAACAATGGCAACACAAAAATTATAAGTGGAATTTTTGAGATTTTAATACGGTATTCACCTACATCCAAATCGCATACCATTCATTATGTGTTAATATACACCTGTCCTTGGAACTTCTAGGGGAAAAAAAAAGAATTAAAAAAGTCTATTGGGTTTTTGTAAGATTCTTAAAAGTTCAACACAACTTTATATTGCAAACAGCCATTATACTGAAATTAGTCATTCATCGTTTATATAATGTGAAACTATCCTGTACCCGTCATCTAAGGACTGAGCTACAAAGATGAATAAAAATACCAATCTTATGTAAATCAAATATCTCTGAATAAAGTATTTATATAGGCCGGTTAGTTAGTCAATGCTTAGCTTTATCAAATTTATTAAGTGAGTATATAGAGTGTATTATAATTTGGAAACTAAGAAAAGGGGAAATACATAACTATAATGAAGTCAACAGAGCCTTCTGAGAGTATGCATACTGGAAGACATTGACAAGCACTTTATTCTTTTAATGCCTCTAAGAAATTCATTTACCAGGGGAAAATATCGCCTTTTGGACTGTGTCCTTAAATGCTTGCTTCACTTGCTGGTTCCTCAGAGTGTATATGAATGGATTCATCATAGGGGCAACAGATGTATTGAGAATCGCCACGCCTTTGGTTAATGATGCCTTTTCTTTCGCTGAAGGATTGGCATACATGAAGATGCAGCTCCCATAAGAGATGGAAATGACGATCATGTGAGAGGAACAAGTGGAGAAAGCCTTCTTTCTCTGCGTGGCAGAAGGGAGTTTCAGGATGGTTCTAATGATGAACATGTACGACAGAATGATTAATGACAAAGTGAAAAGTAGAATCACGATTGCAGAGTAAAAACCAATCACTTCCAGGAGCCATGTGTCTGAGCAGGATAATTGCAAGAGGGGAAAATAGTCACAGGCAAAGTGATCGATAACATTGGAGCCACAGTAATCTAACTGAAGGAAAAGAACTACCGGTGGGAATATATTTAAGAATCCCGTCAGCCAAGCACAAAAGACAAGTAGTATGCAGACTCTCTTGTTCATGATGGTTGTATAATGCAGGGGTTTGCAGATGGCGACATAGCGGTCATAGGACATGGCAGTTAGTAGGTAAAATTCCGTTATTCCCATGAAAATAAAGAAAAACAGCTGAGCGGTACAATTGTTGTATGAAATGGACTTATCTCTTGTAATGATTGTGCTCAGAAATCGAGGGATGCAGACAGTCGTGAAGGATATTTCTAACACAGAGAAGTTCCTAAGAAAGAAATACATAGGAGTCTGCAGATGAGAATCCAACAAGGTGAGAGTGATGATGGTCAAATTTCCAGTGACACTTAGTATATATGTGATCATTAAAAAGAGAAAAATTACTACCTGAAGCTCTGGGTCATCAGACAGCCCGAGGAGAATGAATTCTGTAGGTATTGTTCGGTTTCTCATTGCTAATCCCCTGCCCCTTTCCCCCTCCCGTATCCAGTCAAATTTGTAGAATAAAAAAAGTTAAAACAAGATGGAAGTTAGGTATAATTTTTGCAAGTATGCATAATGATATGTAACCGATAATATTAGGTAACACATTTCCATCAAAACTGTGCTTCAATTTTTACACCACCTATCACGCTAGTAGCAAATTTCATCTCAAGATAAGTAATGATCTCTTTACGTTGAAAATATACCATGGTAGGTCATTGCTAAATGTTCTCACATAAACCACTTCTTTAATGCTTCTTTAACATTAAGTTTCTAATTATTCATCAAATATTTGCTTTTATATAAAACATGAAAATATGCTTACAGTGTTTTCCTTTATGCAGTATTATAGAAATCCACTTCAATTCTAATAAAATCTAGACTTAAAAGGTTACAGACATTATTTATTCTTATTTGGAAATTTTATATTTTAAGGATTTAAGGCCCCATGGTTTAGGAAACCTGTACAAAGTTAAATAACTAGTCACATATAATAATCTCCATTTAAATTACACATGTTTATTCATGGGAAGGCTATATTTTCATCTGTCCTAATTTTACTTTCTTAAAGAACCAAGTGTTTCAATGGTCATGTGCTCCGCCGCTACCCAAAACACAGGAGGTTGGAACTCATTAGTCAGTCACTCCGAGGGAAAAAACCCAGACCCAGAGACATGCTCTTACAAAAATTCCATAACAAATTAGACCCACTGCCATCGAGTCATTTCCAGCTCTTAAGGAAGGACCCCACAAGGTAGAGTAGAACAGCTAGAGATAATTTCTGTAATTCTCAGATTAGAGAAACTCAGATTTTCCCCATTGATTAGCATGTGGGTTTGAAGTAAAGATGTTGTGCTTAGCAGCCCAGCGCTTAACCCACTACAGTAACAGGACTCCTTCCTGTAAAGACTCCAGTCTCAGCAATCCGATGGTAGCAGTTCTAGTATTTCCTGTAGGGGTCCAAGGAGTCAGAATCCAGTCAGAAGCCACAGAATGGCCACCAACAACACGGGTGTACAGGTTGCCATCACACACCTTCTGCCACTTTTTGTTTTCCTTTTTCATATAAAAACCAGACGGATAGGCAGGGAAAGTTTTGCTATCCAAATGTGTCCATTTCCTAGAAAAAAAATCTATTTTTTACAGCACATAATTCAATGTTTTAAAATATGTTTATAAAAAGTAATGAAGAAATTAGGCAAATATTGCCTAATGAGAAGCAGATATCCCAATAAATGATTATATTAAATTGGCAATGGATTCCTTATAATTCTATTAGCATCATAACCTGACTCTTAAACTTAGAAAACATAATGCGCAATACAAGGCTTGTGGTTTTCCTTTTCTGGAACCCCATGATCATCTCAGCACTAAACCATTTATGAGGATTATCCGTCTATATTCTCATTCCCAATAACATTTCAAGCATTTGAATAAAATTGAGTGATGTGTATCATATTGAAGAAAAGTACATTTACTTACTTCTTGATGCTTATGCTTCTGATAATTTTGTTGGAAAGCGCCTGGCTAATTAGTGGAATTATTCATATTATTTCAGAACTGGTAGATTGAGGTAGAATTTATGTAGTACTATTGTCTCTAAAATCAGCAGAGGTGACTTAACTTTTTCATTACTCTAAAAGATAATGATGCTAGAGTAGGAATAACTGACTTACACTCTCCTGAATTCTTGGTACTACAAAATTTTTGAGAAAATTTACTATGATATGATACATTTGTGGGTTTTGTCCTCTCAGCTATTCTCCTTGTACAAGCACAGCCAATCATGAATTGACTTAAGGAACTCTTCCTTTTGTGTAATATAGAAAATATTTATTAATTAAAATATATTTCCCATGAATAATTCCAAATAAATATTTAATCCTATGATTATGTATCAAAAAATCTTAATAATATCTTCCTCAGATTTGAGAGATTATTGTGTTAAAATATGAATTAAGAGATGTTCCTCTCTGTGTATGTAATACAAATAAAGCTGGACTTATTACATATGTATCTTTTTTCTTGGCTCAGGGGAGGTCATTAGGGAAACAAAGTGTGCCAAGAGAATCATCATTGCAAGCTAAAGGTAAATTGACATTGTTCACATATATATATGTGTGTGTGTATATACATACATATAGTAAAGAAGGTATAAGAATGTATTATTATTGAAGTAAACATGATAATTTTAAAACCACACATAGTAGTTTGGTCAAGCATTTGGTTGTTTTATAATTATACAAGTAGTTCACATCATTTTCTGAATATTCTGGAACTGCCATCAGGGGAATTAGTGTACATACTCCTTTTTATTTTGGCAATCCCAGAGCAATCTTTTCTACTATAACACAATGAAATGATAGCATATTGCTTTGGATTTCTAGTATGAATTCATTTTCTTCTGAAATGGATAGCATATTAAGATCCTGTATGGATTTGTATCCATATACTACATACCCCAAACCCACTGCCATCAAGCTGATTTCAAGTCATAGCAGCCATACATAGAGTTTCTGAGGCTGTAAATCTTCATGAAAATAGACAGCCTCATGTTCCTCCCAAGTAGTTGCTGATGGATTTGAACCCCTGGCCTTGCAGTTTACAGTCAGTTTACAGTCCAATATTTAGCTGGAATTGCCACTAGGTCTCCTTAAATACCATATAGCACCTAGGGAGACACCTTTTTGCCTAGCCATTGCCTGTGTACATGTTTATGTGCATCTCATAGCACTTGGGTTTTTACCTTGCTAGTATGTATCAGTATTTCAGAATTTATATGTATGTGGCACAAATGGTTAATGTTCAGCTACTAACTGAAAGGATGGCAGCTTAAATCAATCGACAAGTGGCTTAGAACAAAGACTAGATAATCCACATCTAAAAACTCACATCCACTGAAAACTTTATGTAGCAATGACTGCTCTATAATAAATGTTTGTTACATAATAGATAGATAGATTGTTGTGGTTGCTGTTAGGCATCATCTTCAAGTTGGTTCCAACCCATACTGAGCCTATGCACATGGGTTGAAATACTGACTGGTCCTGCAGCATCTTCACATTTGTTCTTATGCTTCATCCCATTGTTGCAGCCTGTCTGTCAATCTATCTGGCTGAAGGCATTCCGCTGTTACACTGCCTTTCTATTTTATCAAACATGATGTCCTTCTCTGAGAAATGGTCTCTCCTGAAATCAGGTTCAAATTATGAGACAAAGTCTCTCATCCTTTCTTCTAAGGAATACCCTGGTCACATTTCTTCTAAGACAGATTTGGTAGTACATTTAGAATCCATGGTATTCTTTGCCAGCACCACAATTCAAATGCATAAATTCATGTTTGGCCTTGTTTAGCAATGTCTAACCTGCAGATGCTTATGAGGTTTTTCAATATGCTAAAGAGGTTTCAGCAGCAGAGGCCCCAATGCAATGTGCCTTTGAGCACTTCACTGCTAACTCGATGAGGATTGATTTTGGATCCAAGTAAGACAAAATCCTTGACAATTTCAATCTTTTCTCCATTTGTCATGGTCTTATCTATTGGTCTAGTTGTGAGGATGGGAGTCTTCTGTAAATTGAGGTTTAATCCATACTGAAGACTACGACCCTTGTTCTTCCTCAGAAAGTCCGTAAAACCCATCTCATTGTCAGCAAGCCGAATGTCACCTGTACATCACAGGGTACTCCTGTCTTTCCCCAACTCTGATGTCACACTCTTCTTCATCGACTGAGCATCTTTGATGATGTGCTCAGCATACAGATCGAACAATGGTTAGAGGAAACAACCCTGTCACGCTTCTTTCCTCATATAATGCATGCAGCATTCCCTATTCTATTCACACATCTGCTTCTTGATCCAGGGGAAAGTTGCCATAGGAGCACAATGAAGTGGTCATGAATTCCATTCTTTTCAAGGCTATCCACAGTTTATATAGTCCACACAGTCAATTGCCTATGTGTAGTCAGTAAAACACAAGTAAAGATTTTGGTGGTATTCTTTGTTTGCAGCCAAGATCCATCTGACATTGGGAATGATCACCCTGCTTCCATCTCCTCTAGACTGCTTCAGTCAAAAGGCTATTCTAGGTAGAATTTTGTGTGTATCCCAACCATAGTCACTCGGCCACTTTTGGCCCACGGGAAGCTAGGATGCATTGATCTGCTGTGACAGTCTCCCATTACTTCCTGTCTTCTTTAAGTGGCCATATTTGTGTAAATCCATGGGCACCAATAGGACCTTGTGCTGATGGTTCCTTCATCTGGATGATATATTTATATTTTTGTCCTATAATAAATCTGTCTCCATAAATAATGCATGAGATTTGGAGTATCATTTTTTCCCTTAAATACTATTAAATTTTGGCTATCAATTCATTAGGTTAAATTGTAAAAAGGCTAGCATGTCTAAAAGGATTAACACTCTGATCATAGGCTGCTAGTTAGAAATTTTTGAATGTCCTGCCTATATATACAAATATATATATATATACTCATATTGATATCTTTTCTTCAAATATCCTTATTTATGACTGAAAACAAAAGTTTAAGTAAGTGTTGGGAACAAGATTGTAAGTAATGAGAAATAATCTAGGGAGACCATATGGATTTCTGAAAAGTACTATCTTTTATTTCACGGTTTTTCATCATGTCTCTAGTTTATGACGGTACCTTTATTTTTACATTTAATTAAATGCAATCTTCCGTATCAGGTCCATAAAGGCTCTCTTGACTTGTTGATTCCTTAGGCTGTAAATAAAGGGGTTCAGCATCGGGGCTACTGAGGTGTTTAGCACAGCTACTCCCTTGCTCAAAGATACCCTGTCTTTGGCTGATGGATTGATATACATGAAAATGCAGCTGCCATAAGAGATGGAGACCACAATCATGTGGGAAGAACAGGTAGAAAAGGCCTTTGTCCTCTGACTACCGGAAGGGATTCTCAAAATTGTTCTGATGATATATATGTAAGA